ATGAAACAAAAGCTTGCTTCTTGCTCTAGTATGAGATGTGCAGAATGCATATCATATCATTAACATAAGAGTATTTGAAATAATACTGCTTTCAAGACAGACTGCATTAATTGCATCAAGCTATTTATAGCAGGGAGGTCTGTCTTAGCACTTCTCATTGGCTGACTCAGGTTATAAATTGACACCAAACTAATAGTGTGATATAAGTAAAGGAAGAAAAAATATTCTACTATTAAAACCTATTATTTACTTTTAACTTTATTGTCACTTTAACCTATCAAACAAATAATACGGTAAGCAAAAATTCAGCAGCGAACTAAATTGATGTTAGCTTTACAAGATTACTGGGAAATTATTAGAATGTCCTAATGACCAATATGGTCAATTTCTTGAAAGGAAGGAAGCTCCCGTGTTTTCTTCTGTGTTACACCCTGAACTTCACAATCCTGCCCATTAATCACTGCTGTCGATGCCCACTTACTGGTTTTTAAATATGCAACTGAAGTATTAAAATAGCTTTCTACTTCTTTACAGATGTGTCTGTGTGGGAAAGAAGCTGTTTCACTGATTGACAAGATATAAGTATCTTAGATTTAATTAATTAGATTTAATTAATATAAATAACAATATATAAAATAAATATAAATAAAAAACCCATGTTCACAAAGCCAGTGGATTTAGATCAGGCCCATAAGAAGTATAATGGGTAAATTAAAGACCCATGTTGTTTCAATGAGCCTTGCAATGTACCAATTGCCATTCCATTTATAGCGCCTTTGAACTGTGCTGTTTTCAGGACAGGGACTTGGGCTGAGGTTTTCGTAGCCCAGTTTTCTTTCATTTTAATGGGAATGGAGAATCCCAGTTTGTTAGGCCACTTTGAAAATCTCAGCCTCAGTGTACAATATTCTAAATCAGATCTTGAGAAAGAGGTTAGTATTTGTAGTGAAGATGTACTGTGAAAAATGGCTTCAGTGAAAGTCCTCCAGTGTGTCTGTACACACAAATAGACATATTTTACATATAATTATGTCACTCGATAATCATTTGCATGCCTTTGTTAAGTATTTTACAGTGAAGCTAAGTTGTCAGAATTATTTTAAACAAAAAAAAAGATTTAAAAAGCCCCCTAATCTGGCAAGATGCAGTGCAAAGTGAATGTTGTGCCCATTTATATTTTACATCCAAGCTACACAACCAATGAATTTCATGACTCTGTTCCAACTTCTAATTAAATAGGCACTAAAAATGTTTAAAACAAGAGAGCCCAATTCAACAGAGAGAAACCTCTCAGGGACAAAAGACACTGCAACAGTGATATGTGTTGATATTAAAATATTATTTTAATATGCAGGCTCTAACTTGCTAATTCTACAGCCTGTGTTGACTTATACACAAATTTAACAAAAACCTAACAGAATATGCAACAAGCAACCAAAAAGTGGTCCAACACAGCAGAACTTCTTTGGCATCCATTCGGTGTGCTTCTTACTGTACTGACTTTACTGAATATTATCAGCATCACAATTTCCAAAGAACACAAACAGTCCTAAATGACGCAATGAATTCCCATTTGCACAACTTAACAGTGTGCTGTATGCAAGACAAATTTTCAACAGCAACTTTGACATGTGGGTGCCCATACGCGGCCAACAGCTTAGATATGCCACCACAAATTGCACAGACTCTGAAGGACCTGATTTGTGAGTGACAGACAGAGATAATAGCTGCCCACAGACGCACGAGTAATTGAAAACCCTCAGATTTAGAGAGGTTGAGGCTACACTGAAAAAAGTAAAGACCCTACTAAGCATTTAAGCAAGAGCTGAAACATACAAAAAGGTGAGAAAAGGAGGGGGAAGAGAGAGAATGGAAATGTTAATGGCTTTCGTTCAAAGAATGAAACAATTCCTCAGAAACAGGAACAAGGCTGACAGAATAAAAAACTAATCAATTCAAGGAGACAGGCAGATCCCTAAAGCTGGAGTAAGTGACTCTCCAGTGTAAATGCTTACATGAAGAGGAAAGAAAACAACACTGAAATTATCACTGGTATTATCATAGCGTATGTCTACACTAGCTCATTAATTCGAGCTAGGTAGGCAAATGAGGCGACTGGAGTTGCAAATGAAGTCCGGGATTTAAATTTCCTGGGCTTTATTTGCATGTTTCCATCCGGTCGCCATTTTGAAATTTCACTAGCCCGAACTCACTGCCGCGCAGCTACACGCATTCCACAAGGAGTAACAGTTAATTCGAACTAAGGACTTAGTTTGAATTAATGTTTCACTGCTGCGTTGAGCCGCGCAGCAGTGAGTTCGGGCTAGTGAAATTTCAAAATGGCGACCGGACGGGAACACACAAATAAAGCCCGGGATATTTAAATCCCGGACTTCATTTGCAACTCCAGTCGCCTCATTTGCCTACCTAGCTCGAATTAACGAGCTAGTGTAGACATACCCATACAGTCAACACAAAGAGAAACTTCTTTTTGTTTCACTCCCACAAAACATTTTGGGTAGAAGTAAGACCTTGCTCTATGTTCTCAGTGTTATACATGGAAGACAATTAAGGGTTAAGTAGAAATGAGCCTCCTTTCCAAGGGGGAGAAATGTTTCTTTCAAGCAGAACTTGACCAACTACTGTCATAAACACTTAGCATGTGCTTTGATATAACCTGTTCTCTAAGTGCCATAGACTGTAGCAATAATTATAGAAAGCCATGATAACAGGTCTATCTCCCCACAAAGCTGGCATCACTCTTTTAGCAAATAGATCGTTCCAAACACTAACAGCACACAACTATAAAATGAAAGTACGTAAAATAGAAAAGTCTTGTGTTCCAATGTGCTGTAATGAATTAGTCTTTCCTTCCTTTTCTAATTTTAGTTTTACTTTCTTGTCTCTCCATTAACTGTCTATGTTTGCTTTAGAAGCAGTAGGGCATCAGTGTATCAGTTCACTATTATAACTACAGTAGACTTCCGATAATCCGGAACCTATGGGACCTAGGTGGTGCCGGATTATCAAATATGCCGGACTATCAGGAGGTACTATAAGATGGTTATATATATATACTGTATACATTATATACTGTATATAAAGTGTTCTTAACCCTTTTTATTGTACATACTGTATACAGTATACTGTAATGTTTTAGGTTTTTTAAGCTTTTTTTACCCTTTTTGCTCAGTTCAGCTGCTGCCGCTGTTACCTTGTAACTCATTTTTTGCCGAAGCTCACTCACTAGGCTCTTGCCATTTTGATGCCGGACTATCAGGAGTGCCGGACTATTGGATGCCGGACTATTGGAGTTTTACTGTACTTACATATCAAAGACACCTAGGTCTAGTCTATACCAAAAAATAGAGAGGAACAGAAAATATGAGCTATGCTCTAGTATGTTTTATTAGTTATGGGGGGACGAAGAGTACCTGCCTATCATCCAACATTATGTTGACTGTTTATAAGGGGTTGATAATAATTGTTTTATGACAGTGTCAGTCCACTGAAGCCAATGAATTGAAGCCAGATTGACAGAGTAGAGAATCAGCCCCACCGAGAATGCAACCTGCTTAACAACTTGAATATAGTGCAACTTCACACATAGCTGGCAGACATTATTTAAATGTTTTGCACTGTGCAACATGTCATGCTGGTTACAGAGAGTTTGTGCTTAGATCAAAGTTGGTGAATGAAAACTTACTGGACTATTGGCCCAATCCAACTGATTGGTCTGATGAAGTCAGCTGGAGTCTATCCGTGGATTTTAAGTTTTGGATCAGGCACTAGGAGGTTCTGTTGTGTATTTTTAAACTTCCTCTTGAAAACTCTTTGTCCTTGAAGACCAGGTTAAAATACTTGCAAAACTTTCAATCTCTTTTCAACATGTTAAATCTGAATTTCCTAACTTTCCCCCAAAGCCTCAGTATCCCCCAGGGAAAGACCACATGCATTTAATGAAATACAAGCATTATCCAAAGAAACTAAATCATAGGAACCAAGTTTGGATCTACAGTCAATGTTGTGCTGTAGTAGGGTTTGCACACACTACAATGAAAAGCTGAATGCAAGGAAACTTATATTGGTCATCAGGGGCCATCTTGAAGGCTTCATCCACTTTTTACTCTGTTCAGTCCTTCCTGGCTGACCAAATTCTGCCGTTTGTATGCAGTATTTGTTCAGAAGTATTCTGAGTAAGTTTGTCTGAATACAGACTGCAGAATTTGGCCTATGTAAGGCAGGTATAAGCACTTTAGGAGTTTGCCTCTGCTGAATTTTCTTTCAGGCCCTTCCTGTTTCCACCTCTAATCCCCACAATTCACCACATGCCTGAACCCTCAGTTAACCTGCACTCAGCACACACACTAATGCAAAGAGATCTCTGTGCCCAATAAGAAGGGTCAGGTATTAACTCTGTGGTCAATCACATGTCAGGGTCCTCCCTGGCCACCTGGGTTCCACTAATCTACATATCACATTTCCTTCATGGAAGTGACAAGAGTCAGGGTTTAAAAAATGAAGGGAAAAAAGTGAACGAGGAACATTTTCACAAAAGCCAGGGAGAAGCGTGCATAGAGCACATATATCCTACATGCACATGGACTCTGTGGAAAGCCCTTAACCTTTCTCAATGATTAGAAAAAGAAGACCTCCGATGTTAAATGTTATCCAATTAAGTTTAGAATAAACAGCCCAGAGAGATGAAATCTTGATACCTGGGTATCCCATTATGTGAGATTCTCAGACATTTGCTCACAATGTGGCATAAACAGACCAGCCCTGGCTGGTGGTGATATCTGAAAATGGGTAGATTGTGGGGGGAAAAGAATGGACCCACTCCCCGTCCTCTGTGATGGGAGGGAATATGGATGATGTTTTCACTGCCTCCCCCACACAACCCAGCGAAGGCGACTCTCCCACAGTAAAGATGACATCACTTGGTAGAACTACTGACCTTCAGATAGCAAAAAAAAAAAAAAAAAAAAAAATTCTATTACCTGACAACTGACAATGACATCCAAATGTGCCTGAAGTCTCAGTCTGAGTCTCAGTCTGAGTCCCGCCAACTGAGACTGCACGTGCACCACAGCAGGGCAGGCTAAGGCAGGGCGGGAGAGAGGCCAGTGCGCGGAGAGGTGACGTGATCACTGATGTGTGAGGGTGGGAGGAGGCAGCTATGGGAGCCCCCGGCAGCTTTGCAGGCCTGGACGGCCCTGGAGAAAAAACAATAGAAAAAACTGTCAGTCGGATCTAAGTTTGAAGGGACAGAGGAGGCATCATCAGGGAAAACAAGAGGGCGGAGGGTGACTAGGCCTAACTGGCTACATACTTTTCTTTAATTAATTTTTATGTCAGGCTGAGACCAGTGTGGCTTCTTGGGAAGTCAGGGAGGAGAAGCCAGGCTGGGGGATGAATAGGCAAGAGGAGACCTGTAGAGCTTCAAAACCACAGATTGCTATAGGTAATTTTCTGGAAGCAAACTCTGACTGGAGAGGGGCCCAATGGAGGGGAACCTGAGTGAATGGGGATGAGGTGACCAGTGAGGGAAGCTAGCAAAAGTCTGTGATGGTACAGATGAGAACCAGAGGCAGTACCAGACCCACCAGCACGTGTTTAGGAGCCGAATTAAAAGGGGGATTCTTGGTTTATGGCATGTTAATGTATTTAATGGACACAAAACTGGGTAGGCTTTCTGCCGAGCTGCTGCTGAAACAGGCTCAAGCCACCAGCGCAGACAAAGTGCAGCGACTCATAGCTCAAATGGATTCACAGAGGTGCCAGAAATCAAGCTCCCAGAATAAAGCATTCATGGGCCACTGTGTTTCCTTCCCATTTGAGCTCCAGCCAGTTACGTATTTTGCATGCCCCATTTATGCATTCTGTTTCCCTATCAAGCCTATCAAGTATGCAGAAACCTTTTTTCTAATAGCTGAAAAATGATATTGTTAACCTCAAACTATATTATTTATTTGTAATGCATCTAGAAATGTCCTGCTATTTAAGCTGTATTTAGAACCCTCTGCTGCTTCTCTGGAAACCCTCTCTTCCCCTAACACAAGGCAGAAAGGAGCCATATGACTTAAAACAGAAAATATAAAACTAACAATATGCATATACACACACGCCTATGCACAAACATGCATGCAGACACACACACAATACTGTAAATCAACATAACTTCCCCATGGAACAACACAAATTTACACCAACAGAGGATCTGGCAATATATGCTTATTTAAAGCCACGACTTTTATGTAATTACTCAACAAGGAGCTGTAACTAATCAAGGGTAGCTTCTAAATAAAGGTATGTGGTGTGGTGGTAGCCGTTCAAAAGCTGGCATTTGCCAACAATTACCTCACAGTGGGATCTCAGAAACCACAGGTTTTCCCCTACATTTAGATCAGGAAATAAGTGTGTTAATTGTGGGGTATCTTTTGACAAGCGCTCTTGCTAGTTTATTTAAATGGTGACAACTCTGTACATGTGTGTGCATGCATAAACACCTACGCACTCAGGCATCAAGAACTATTCTGCCATAAGACCTATGACATTGCAAGCAGCATGTTATAATGCATCCTCTCCAATCAAGAGTCCCAATTCGAAAACTATGGCTACATGTTGATCTGACAGTTACACATGTGAGGCAAACAGAGCTACTTCATCCTTGGCACCGCATCCAGAGTGCTAGTCTGCAAGGACTGCATTTGATTTTGTCGTTTATCTTAAATGGCTAAGAGACCACCACTGCAAAACATTTGTGTGAAGCTTTTGCCAAAACCACAAGTGAAGAGTCTAAATTCCCTGTGTAAATACTTGAGCTCCGAGCATCAAGGATAAAAATGTGTGCTCTTTCGCAAGGACTGCTTTTAAATAGAAGCCATCTTTGCAGCTCAAGGGACAGTTTTTTGGAACTATTTGATCTCACTGAAAATGCTGCACAAACAGGTAAAGATAACCATTAACTGGACTGTAGTTCTACTACATTCTGAGTATGACTATGTGCCAGGCAAAAAGAAACAGATGTCAGACATACACATATTGGGGCCACTTCATTATAATTTTAAAGCACAGTAAAAAGGGAAGGGAATTACTTCATGATTACCTGTTCTGTTCATTCCTTCTGGGGCACCGAGCACTGGTCACTGTTGAAAGACAGGATACTGGGCTAGATGGACCTTTGATCTGACTAGTATAGCTGTTCTTATGGTCTTAAGCATTTTTACTGAGCAGTAAAGACCTAAGAATGGAGCAAGGCATCCTAAAACAGTTGAATAATTGCACTTTTATTTTGAAAAAAATAGTATAATGCTGAGCTACACTCGGTTGCCTTGCTTCAGCCACTTGATTACTGGGAAACTTTGTCTGTTGTGAGGAGTTGTGAGCTTGTCATCTGAATCTATTGTTTATGTACTGGGAGTTAATATTCAACATTATACTGCAACCAGTGTCAGACCACCAACTAGCTATGTGCAGCACCACAACCTTTGCAGCACAATGTTTCTATGAGACAGACTGGATCATACAGTAGGAACACAAGTCATGTGTATGCCAGTCATTTACACCTTTCAGCAGAATCAAAGCTGAAATGGAGACTAGGTGGGTCAAAGTTCTGCCTATGGACTTTATGGGCATACCTGTGGGTGAATTCAGCTTTAATATGGAGGTGAGGCCTGAAAGGAGCACAGATGCCAGCATGCAGTATGACCTGGTGACTGGACCAAAATAAGGCACAGTAGTCTTTCCTAAAATCTCAGCAGACCACAATTCTCTCTTAAACATCAGGGTGGCTTCAAGCTGTTTCATTTAGCCATGGCCCTCAGAATCATGAAAAGATTCAATACAATCCAAGTTCTAGTCCCAGAGATCCTGCTCCAATAAGTGAAGGGAATCAAGGATCAAAAAGGCCACTGCTAAGAGGTGTGAAAAAGCAAAAATGGGGCAAAAGCAGGAAAAGAGGAGAGAAGCAAAAAACAATAAAGCATAACCTGGTAGGTCTTACTACATGGATTGGTGTTGTGGGAGAGGAAAACTCCCAGGGCTGATAGACCAACACAAGCCTGAGCTTCCTCTGTCAGCAATTATAGACAAGTGGTGCCTTCTTTCCCTCCCTTCTCCTCCCCACACCCACCCCCATTTCTCCCTTCTTTTCTTATAACATTCAGAAACATCTGAGGACCAGACAAGGTGGCACCTTGGCAAACGCAAGCTGCCTGGAAAATAAACTGAGAGCCCTCATCAACTGGGTGCAAGGGAAGTGGCCAGAGAAAATTAGGGCATTTTTTTAAACAAACAAAGCCTCCTTCTAGTTGCAGAAATGTTGCAGAGTTGGTGCCCGGTAGTGCCCCAGTAAGTTCATTAAGAATGTGTCCAGGTTTTGTCCATCCAGACCTTTTCTATTGGGAACCAGGCAGCCCTAGCCCAAAGAATGTATTTAAAGATAGAAACAAAAGTTAGGTATCGCCTCATCAGTTTAACTGCTTTAAGAATAGACATATGCAAGCAAAGCAGAAATTTGCCCTTTTAAAACAGTGCTGTGAAATACTAATAGATCACTCTCAACTCAGCCACAAGTTATGGATCTAGATGAAGGAATTACCGGATTGAATTCTATGGCCAGTGTTATCCAGGAGATCAAACTGGATGTTCAGAATGGTTCCTTCTGGCCTTAAAAATCTATGAACTTCCTCCTAATTCAAAAGATCAGTTACTCAATATTTACCCATTCATTCTGTTAGCAAATCTCCCCCTGAGGCTACGTCTAGACTGCAGGCTTCTTTCAGAAGAAGCTTTTCCGGAAGAGATCTTCCAGAAAAACTTCTTTTGAAAGAGAGTGTTCACACAGCAAAAGCACATCGAAAAAGTGATCTGCTTATTTGAAAGATAGCATCCACATTGATTGGACACTATCTCACATTTAAGTTGTGATTACTATGGATGGAGTGGCCACTAGAGCACCTATGCTTTTTCCTGGAGGGCTCTTCTTTTGAAAAAAAACTCTCTTCCCTGTCCACGTACACCTTTTTTCCAAAAGAGCTCTTTCAGAAAAAGGCTTGTAATAATATATGGAAAAATACCATCTCATAGAACTAGAAGGGACTTTGAGAGGTCATCAAGTCCAGTCCCCTGCCCTAGCAGCAAGACCAAGTACCATCCCTGACAGGTTTGCCCCATCCCTAAATGGTCCTCTTAAGGATTGAGCTCACAACCCTCGATTTAGCAGGCCAGTGCTCAAACCCACTGAGCTTTTCCTCCCTCAGAGACATACCACTCTTGGAAAAACTCCTGTGTTCTTTCAACTTTCTGTCACAAGAACACAATTACAGTGTGGATATAAATGTAGTTTTTCCATAAAAATGGCCATTTTTCTGAAAAAAGTCTGCAGTGTAAATATACTCTGAGATAAATTCTCTACCACATCTCACTACTGCAATTCTGGAGTAGTCTTAATGAACGGCTTGCAATTACTCTGGATTGGCACCAGTCTAACTAAGGAGAATCATTTATCACCACAAGATTTTGCCAGAACTGGATTAAAATGGAAACAGTGTAAAGAGTTCCAAATTGGCCCAATTAGATGAATGTGCTGGTATTCAGGTTCCTGAACTAAAATTTGACAGTTCCATAACTAGCCTGTCAAACTTTGTCCATGCTTCTTCACATCCAAATTTTGTACATATAAATCTCAACCAAGGATGAAAAAATCACATTTACATAAGAAAATCATGTGCTTAGAAATCTAGACATTCAGCCAACACATACAAGTGCAATCTGGGTTTTAGGAAGCATAGATTTAAAATAAAGAATGGCGCAATTTTAGAACCTACCTTGGAAAAACTGATTTGAGAGAGAGAGAGAGTCCCTGACTAGAAGTTTGAGGCATAATTCTCCTATGCAGTCAGTATGAATGAATCACTCACCCACAGTACAGATTTCTATTGTATATTTTACACTCATTCTGCATGTGGAGCTCCCACTGATGTCAATGGGAGTTTTGTAGTTAGAATAGCATGAAGTACATATTAGAGAGATCAGTCTGGATAAAAGAGCTCCAATGCATTTGAGAGTGGAGACATTTTTCCTTGCATTTTAAAAAGGCTCTAGATTGCATATACATCACTGCTGAATTGACTCCCAGAGACATCTGTGAGTCATTTTTGCTCAGGGTCTAACTGATCCCATATTTGGGGTCAGGAAGGAATTTTCTCCTATA